AAAGTCGTTAATTCGGACACCCATAATCCGGACCTCAAAGCTAAAAACTTTCTGCGCATGCGCCGTGTTGACACATGCGCATAGGCATTTACGCGTGCGCATAAGACCTTTACTACTGCGCATATTCGTGTGCGCAAGTGCAGAATACGTTTTCGCGTGCGCATTTAACGTATAACAGACGGTATAAGCTAAAATTATACAATTATCTGTTTCAGTTAATGTTGATGCTTGCGTTATTCCTTAATCTTCGAATTGGATGCAGCTTATTATTTTTTGCAGACTGTAAGAGCAATTTTATAAAAAGTAAACTTGAACTTTCGATTATGTCAATTTCCGATTCTGGAGCTCCCAAAGGATCTACAAAACGAAAGTATGTCTTGATGTCCGTCAAACAAAAAGTGGAATTGCTGCAAAAAATGGATAAAGTTTTTAGTAAATTTTGATACCCTTTAGATCATAATTGTTCTTTATTTCCTAAAATACGGTTTAATATTTTTAATTTTAGAATTTGTGCATGCCATTTTACGAGATTTAAACTGATGATCTATAATCCGGAAAAATCGATAATCCGGAATCACCGAAGTCCCGACGAGTCCGAATTAACGACTTTTGACTGTATTCGAAACTTTAAAAAAATAAATATCGTTAAAAGTAATGGATTTTTTTTGTTGAAAATGTCGTTTTTTAAGATGGCAGGCAAGTGCGAATAAATACACTTACTATGAGTATAAATTACTAAAGTAAGGTTATTATTACTTTCATATAGCAAAGAAGAGAATAAAAACACCGCTATAAAAACATTGTGCCAACGTTTAATTAGATTAAAATATTACTGAAATTGAATATCAAATTAAAAACCATCATACCAACGTTTAAAAGAATTAGAATATTTTAAAATTCAAATACTGAAAAATAGAAGAATATGCATTTTTTTTAGTCATTTAACCTGTTGTTTATTGATAAGTAACACAAAAAAATCAGAATCATAATTTATATAACATCTTTGAAGGAATTCAAAGATATGAATTAAATTGAACATCTTTGAAGGAATTCAAAGATATGAATTAAATTTTAAAACAGCGCGGAAATGCACAAATTCACATTAACCGATCAGGGAGCTGATTACAGCTCATTAATGCACAAATATTCTATAACCAATCAGAGAGCTTATTACATCACACCTAGAATTAAAATTATTTAAAAATTCATACATAATAAAATAATTTTTTAAAAAAATGCAAAATTAAATTGTATTTTAATATTTAACAGCCATAAATAATGTTTTTTTTTTAAACATTAGTTTAAATTTATAACGTATTAAAACCAATTACTTTTAAAGTAAAGTAAGGTGACGTCATTCATTACATCATCCACAACATAAAATTTCATAAAATATGATAACAATAAAATTTTTTTTTTATTTCAAATAAAAATGCAAAATTAAATGATTTTTAATATATTTAGAAGCCATAAATAATATTTAAAATGCGGAATTTATGTACAATAAAACACATTATTTTTTAAATAAAATGACAATAATGTATCGGTTACCATAAATAACTTATCTAGCAATGGGTTTACCATAAGTTGTATTACTCGCCAAAATCCGTGCAACCGTCTACCAAAGTAGCACCGTATTATGTATAGCTGTATGAATCTTAGTCTGCTACTATTATATGTTTCTGCAACAAGCTGTACAGGCAAGTACTCTTTCTGTATGTTTTAAGATTATGCAAAGTGTTAAATACACCTATGATGTAATAGTCTACTCATCCAGTATTTCATTTGTGAAATAAATTTTGTGTCCATATAATGCTAATTTAGTATGTTTGCATATAGCATTTAAGTCAGACATGTACTTTCACACATTAAATTATTTGAATTTGTACCCTGTATTGTGCATAGTAATCATACGTTTTGTTGCGACACTGTTTCATCTTGTGTATTTTTATATCTTGCTACATGTACAGCATTTAGAATTTTTTAAAAAACTCTTTTCGAGGAGGCAATTACCTCATATAGCTTATGTAAGTAAGCATACTTACATATTTTTTATGTTAACCTAACCACAGAATTATATCGTTTTATATCTATGACATCTTATAGTACCTGAATAATACACACCTGTATTGTATCAAAGATAACACTATTTGTGAGATTATATGCAAGATATGTATATATGGTTGATCTTTGGATTATAATAACTTGGCGATTTTTTGGTGAAAATTTGGCGACCAACTCTGCTACAGCAACCCTCTACTTTTTTTTCCGCCGCTATTTTGTCTTCACGAAGTAAAGACATATTTCTTTTCTTTTTATTTACTCAACACTTTTTCCAGCAATCTACTAGCCGAATTACACTTATGCTAGAAATTTATGTAACAAAACTGCTTAATCATGACAAATATTAACTGCAAAATTGGGAAAAAGTGACAATCGCAAACTCTTGCGCGTTTTTCAGAATAGCCACATACACATAAACAATTTACACGTCGACTAATTTTTATATAAAAAAAAATCTCAGAATTGCACAAAAATGCATTGCACACACTCTTAACTTTATCCATCTACACTGCTATTTTCTCATAAATACAAAAAATTTGCAGGAAAATTTTTAATCTTAAACTTGGTAAAAAGCACATATATGAAAATTACCTGATCGGAAAAAAGTATAACCCTTTCCAAGGATGATGAACGTTTCCACGTATAAAATAAAATAAAATATCCAAAAGCTTTTACTTCTAAATTATCTATTATATTATAAACGTCACCAACAAATTTTATACGCAACATTAAAAATAGTTACAAATACTTAGTGTCAAATATTTTTTTAAATTATTTCCATACACTTACTTCAACTGAAACGTTTTATACCAATTGCTACAAACATAAAATTCACAAAATAACTATAATTTAATTAAAATATCACTAAACCATGGACACCTCAACTTATTTTTACTTAAAAAAACATCCCAGAATTGCACAAAAATGGCATTGCGCACACTCTTTACTATATCCATGTACACTGCTTTTTTCTCATAAATTAGAAAAATTTCACGAAAATGCATGAAAATACTCAACGTATACTACTCAAACGTATTCCAAAATACTACAAACATATAACTCAGAAAATCAGGATCATTAAATTAAAAACACTACTTAAAATATAAATAAGCACATACATTAAATTAATAAAAATTAGATTACAATCCTAATTACTTTAAACTAAATCATTGCTAATAACAATTTTCCAATAACACCATTTTAATTTATTTACTCCTTACATTTAGAACAATGCATTAAAAATAATATCCTCAAATGATTATGGCATCTAACAGAAAGAAATTGCTGTAGCAACCATATGATGTTGCTAAGTTGTAAGAATGCCTTATAAGCTGCAGTTTTTAATGAATAATGAATGAATTTTTTCCGAGTTTATAATCTGGTCTCGGGACTGTGGGACTTACCATACAAAGAAGGTGATGCAATTAATTTCTTACAAAAGTATATATTACCGAGTAACCCTTTGTATTCCACGTTTTCATGAAAAAGTTGGCCATATTCTGCAGCCTGAATGTATTTTCTGCAGTGTTGTATATTTTTGAATATAAGCTAATTTGTGTACAAGCTGAAAATATTTTTTTCTTTAAGAACTTACTCAAAATTCCAAACCTCTTCATAAGCCAAAATTGGAAGGGAAGAGAAAAAAAGGCAGGACTTAAATGAAAGCTAATATTGCTGTAATCTCAGTATTCTTTTCTTTTTCTCCCCATAACTATAATATATCGATGCTAAATTATATCAGCATCTATGCTATTAATATGCTAAAGGTTTTAATAACAAATGGTAGTACATTAAGAATCTATTTGATATCTATGTGAGTGACCACTGTGAGAAACTGTTTCTGAAAATGATCATATTTATCAAAGTGCTTGAGTTTTGGGATGTGTATTTAAAGAATATTTTAAAGAGGTTTTGCTATAAAAAGTTTGGTTTCGAAGCTGAATGGAGTGCCTGGAAATTAAGACAGATAAAATAATCTGCAAATTATCCCATTTACTGGACAGTTAGCAGATTTTAGCTGCAGTTATGGATGACTGCATCCTTTAGAATTCCGCAGTAAAAATTGGCAACCATTGCCAAAATTTCACCAGTGGTCGACAGGATAATAAGCAGATACTCTTAAAAAAAATTCTTGTAAAGTTCAAATATGTTCCCAAACAGGTAAAATAGGTGGAAAATTTTCCGAAATTGTTGTAAAGTAAGCTGCTGCTGATAATGTTTTGATAACCCTGTATGAAGTTACGATAATTTTTCGTTTCATTGTTGTTTTGCGTACTATCTTTTGTATCTGTGCTAGTGTTATTTTCGTTTTGACGATGATGCAACAAACCAGTAATGTAAACAGTTTCGAAAATAGAACAACTCATTTTCTTAAAATGAGTAATTATCTCTGCAAGTAAAGGTGAGTGGGGAAGTGAAGACGCACAAAACATTAAAAGAATGCCCCATTGGGTGTAATTTAAAATATGAAAGATTTCAGATTTTATATATTGTATATTTCATCTGAAAGCTTTCAGATTTTTTTTATTAATATATTATTAGTTATTTTAATTATTTAATTATGTTTTTATTTGTTATTAAGTTTATTTAGGTTGTTTGCTTTTATCTGTTTTATTTAAAATCGTGGTTGTTTCTTTAGCTAAACATCTGCAAAAGTAGACCAGAATGATTTCATGTTCATCTAGCGTTGAGCCTAAAATGATTTATTTTTCTATCACATTAAAAATATATATGCTGCAATCAAATAAGCTGAACTATCACCCGAGCAAACATTAACAATTATGGAATATAAACCAGTAGGTGTAGGGTATATTTTCAGTGCTGTTCTAGTGCCTCTTGGGAACCATGTCCTATAATGTAGTTGCAATTATCCAAAATACTATTATATTTTCTACATTTACATGATGAAATTGTTTTTGAAAAGAAAGTTGTGATGTATAAATTGAAATTTAAGTATGAATGTTGTTTTTGGTATTTGTTTTATTTATAATTGTATAATTTTCAGATTAGCTAAGAAGGAGAAAGAATTAGCTGCTACAGAGAAAAGACTGAATTCTGTAGAGTCGCATAATCAGGATCTGCAGTCTAAAATTAATCAGCTTACATCAGAAAAAAGAAAATTTGAAGATACTATTAAGGTTTCACTTGATTTATCTTACTGTATTGTAAAGTCATCTTTCAGTCTGAAAGTTTGTATTAAGCTTTATAGTTATTTTCTGTTGCTGTTTTTACATTTTATTATTTTCTAATTTAATTATGTATTTTCAAAAAAGCAGCTGATGTTGAGTGTTCTTAACCCTTTAACGCGTGGTGGTCGCACCTTGAAACCACCGATTTTCGAATTTGTTTCTCTAAATTTGAAGATACTATTAAGGTTTCACTTATTTTATCTTACTGTATTGTAAAGTCATCTTTCAGTCTGAAAGTTTGTATTAAGCTTTATAGTTATTTTCTATTGCTGTTTTACATTTAATGTAATTATGATTTTCAAAAAATAGCTGATGTTGAGTGTTTTTAACCCTTTAACGCGTGGTGGTCGCACCTTGAATTTTCGAATTTGTTTCTCTTCTTTCCGAAATTTTTGAGTGAAAATCAACTGATTACTGATCTTTTACCTCTAAATAACACAAAATAACTGCAGCATGAGATGTAGATAGGGGTCCACAAGACTGTCCCATTTAAGCATGGTTTCACCAGAATTTAGGCTTTCTGTAAATACCATAATGCACCATATACAGATTTTACCTATGCACTTACATAATCCATATAAAAGAAAACCAAAATCGTTTCATCAGGGAAAAATTATGGCATGCCTCTGCTTTGTGAGTGAGAGCACGAGTCCTAACACATCATGTTCCAGTTCTCCAATGAACATCGAGTGCTGTTGCATGTGATCTGCCTTATATTAGCTAATCAGCACAAAGCAAGATCGGGGTTGTTATTTCATTCGTCTTGTCTCTGAGTGTTGCGAGTGCACTTGCTTTCAAGAAATAGATTAAGAAATTATGATCTTTTGTTTTAGCTATGTCTGCAAAAAAGGTAAAATAATCATGTACTTTTCAAAAATTGTACACAGAGATGACTTTCCTTCTATTATTTGTTCAAGGAAATGTAATACATGTGTGCTGTTTGTCATTGCGATTTTACGATTTCGCTTGGTGAAAGGGTCGATGTTCTCAAACACGTGTACAGAAAAACACAGACCACATGAGTTCTATTAAAAAAAATTAATTTTCTGTGATGAAAAAAGGACAAAAATGTTATAATGTAGAATGCCTGTCCTCTGCCTTTTTTGCTGGAACACAACCTGCCATTGAATGTAATGGATCATGAATACTGAACGAAAACCGATTAATGTGTTATTTTTTTGTAAAAGACTCGAATAATATTAAAAAAATTTTTTTACATGTCATTATTTTTGTACTGTACATTTAAGAATTTGTAACTAAACTTTCAGATATTAATTAGTAACTGTTTAAAGTTTATTCATTATTAAAAATATATTTTTATCATTTAAAAAGTCTTTTTGTCATTGAAAAAATCTGATTTCTTAAAAAAAAATCTCTTGATTTTTGAGTGTCATATGTTGGCAAGTATAGAACTGATGCCATTTTGTTTAATAAACAATCAGTACTCAATTTGCTTAAGCTTTGTCCTTCGTTGAAAAGGCTGTTGTGGATTTCTGCTATTGTTAAGGCCTCCAGTTTTATTGGATTTTACTTTAATTTTCCAATGTATTACTGTTTTGTTACTATGTTCAGATGGTCATATCAAGTCCATTAATACACTTTTTTATGGTGGGATTCCATAATTTTCAAAATAATGGACTGCTGGCTATTTTGTAGAAAGCAGGTCCCAAACTTTCGTCATTTTGTTTCAAAATAAGCCTCAGAGTTTCTTTAAATATAGATGTAGAATCATTTGTTTTTTCATTATAGGACTTAGAAGATGAAAGAAACAGGTTAGCAGCTGAGTTAGCAGAAAGAAAGCGGCAGTTTGATATGAATGTGTTGAGGATTGCTGAATTAGAAAATCAGTTACAGAGTCTGAAAGAGGAACTTAGTTTCAGAACGACCGTTCACGAGAAGGTATAGCATTTCTTTTATAAACGTTATTGAATGTATGTTAGTAACCATCTATGTTTCATAATTTCATGTCAGCATTTTATTTAAATTAATGGTATATGCATTTTATTTAAATTAATGGTATAGTATACTGTTTATACTCAATGTAGTAATCTGTCAATTAGTGTAATTTTATCCTTATTACAACCCTTGTAATAAGCAATCAGTACTCAATTTGCTTAAGCTTGTGTTTACATTATTTATCTTCATTAGTGGTGGCTCATCAATCAGTCAGCATGCTTATTCTTCTCTGATTAATTTAAAAAAATAGGTCCTTAAGCGATAGTAAAGATTTTCTCTTATTGTGAACAGGAAAACTGTTTAATGCATGGTATTTGTGTATTATTATATACACATGAAATCTACTGATGAGCCTGTTTACATACTGTATTCATAAATTAGCAAAAGAAAAACCTGTTGTGAAAATAATAGAGTGTTTCACAAGTTAAAATACTCAGCACCCTCTTGGTGTAAAAATTTTAATTACCATTGCTTTAAAAGGTGCAATGCCATATTAGCGTAAGCTTATACATTTATCATCATTTATAAATCAGGCTTTTAAAAGTTTTCAAGTTTCTTTTTAATATGAACATATTTATTTACTTTTTGAATTATTTCTTTATTGTAAGAGTCATCACATAGGCTTTTAGTGATTTGAGTCAGAGAACTGAATAAGTTGCATATTACAAATATGTTTATTTAATTTGCCATTTTTGATGACTAATCATGCTAGTTGGTTTAATAAAGAAAACAATTTTTTAAAAATGTTTAGTAGAAGGTTTTTTTCCTCCTGTAAATTGGTTTGATTTCTTATATTTGTAAATCTTAACTTCCTAAAAATTGATAATTACTACCTTTAGGATTTTTAATTTAATTTAATTTAAATTTTAATTTTAATGTTTACAAAAATTTTTTTTACTATAACAAAGATAGCAGCTTTACACTCAACTTTACATAAGCACCATCTATATAATTTGAAGAACACACTTACTTCTCTATTACAACACTTTTGCAGACCCCAACACTCATATAGTAGGTAAGTTAGAATTAAAACTTACTATTTACTTGCTTTAAGTATTTTTTAAAATTTGTTATGTAGTATCTAAGTATTTTCTAAATATGAAATTATATTTTTAAATAGATATTTGTTTTCTAAAAATTGTAATGAGTTCTTTTTGTTTCTTATTGGTTTATATGGATTATGTCTAGTTCTTTTTTAGTTTCTTTTTATCGATATGCATATTCCGTGTCGGGGAGGTTTCTGTAGACAAGGGTTTCTAAAATACATTTCTATTTATTTTTTATAAAAAATTAATTTAAAAAAAATCTAATTTAATGTTAAAAAAAGTTTAATTCTGACTTTACTTGCTTATTTCTCAAAAGACTTCATAGTATTTTCCTTTTTGAACTTTAATTCTTAAATGTTAATTTCTAAGGGAACCACTTTATTGGAATTAATTTTGGTTTTGACTTTTACCCTTGGGTGCATGAATGACGAAACACGAATTGAATGATTGCAGAGTTAGGTTTGGAGGCAACTTCCCCTTGATAAGTCTGTCTCCTGCCTACTCAACGGTCATTCACATATGCATTTTTTTAAAAAAAATGTTTAATTTAATTTTAATTTATTAAATTAGTAAATTTATTTTCATGGATTGATTTTGCACTTGATTTGCTTATGCTTCTGAATTTAAAATGATATTGTAGAATTAGTTCGAGTATTAAATCTTTTATTGTTTGCACATTTTTTTAAAAATTATTTTGGATTTTTTCCTTTTTTTAGGATTTAAATTTGCTTTTTTATCTTTATACGTATTTGTTAAAAATTAAATTTAAATTTCATTCCTTGCAGCAATGGCGCAAAGAATATTTAATTAAATTTGTATTTAAATTTAATTTTTTAAATTAAATTCAATTTATTCTTATGATACATGCATTATATATATATATTTTTTCCCTTAGGAACTTTCAGAATCAAGAATAATGAAGACAACTGAAATATCTGATATTGATATGAGTATCAGAGAAAATTATGAACAAAAGTTAGCAGATACGTTGAGAGAACTGAGAGAGCAATATGAATCTGAAATGAGAACAAACAGAGATGAAATTGTTACATTATATGAAACAAAGGTAAGATTAGCATTGTATTTCCTTTCTGTCAAGATTAAAATTAGGTAAGATCTTGATTCATTTTGTATGAAAAGTTTGAAATCGGTGTATAGTTTGAGGTAAATTAAAAGAAAAGGAATTTTAGTTTATTAGGAGCAATTTAAGTGTATTTACATTTCAAGAATTATTTTAATAATTATGGAATTACATTTTACTTATTTTTGAATTTCATGTGTATAACATAAATGAGCTGCTAATGCTTGAGGAAATTAAATATTCTTATTGTTTAATTTCATGATCATCTGAGTAATCATTATGCTCATTAAGAATTTCAAATTTTTACATAGTACTTCACTTATACTTATTTAACCATTACACTTAAGATTTTTTGTATGCAGGGTTCATTCATACTAAGCATATTAAATTTTGCTTCAAGATGAGGAGTGGCATCTAAAATTAATTAATAAACAGAAAATTGATTAACAGTTCAGTGAAGTACATTTTAAGAGAAAATTTCCCATTGGAAAGTTCCCCCCCCCAAAAGCCAGTGTTTGGCTAGATGATGGCCAATGTTTGGCAGGCAGTAGTGACTCAAATTTTGGAAATTTTTATAGTCTAGTTTTAAGGTTTTTGATTGTTAATACAAACATAAAATTCAAGCACACGGTGAAAGAGAAAATTTTCCATGTTTCATAAGTGATGAACATAGCTCTTACTTCAAATAATATATTTTATTGAAATCTGTAGTTTTTAAATATACTGATAATCGTTATTTATTCATAAAATTTTAAATAGTATAATTTGAGCCAAAGCACATGTTCCAGCTATTAGAATGCTTGTAAATGAAGATACTTAAATTTTTAGATGTATTCCCTCTTTTCTTATCATTTCTTTTCTTCCTTGATTTGTGAAACTGAATATAAGATTAATTGAAGAAAATGCAATAATGTGCAAAATGGAAAGTAAACGAATGCATATTAATGGTGCTCTGATTTTCAAAACTTAACTTTTAAAAAGAAGATTGATACTCTCTGATTATGTATTCAGTGGTGAATTTTTGATTATGCATTTTTCGCCAATCTAATATGCAAAAGGCAACAGCAGTTTTGAAGATGCAGTGCAGAAAATTCCATAAAAGAAAAATTAATCAATAAAATTTTAAAATCAAGAAATGTTTCTTATATAATAGAGAATTGCATAAATTTATAAAAATGAAAATGGAGAATTGCATAAATTTGATCCATAATTAGATCACTTTCTAAGTACAGCTTCATTAAGTGTGAAGTCTCTCATTTCTTGTTCTTTAGCCAAATTCTGTATTCCTAAAGAAATGCAATGCTTTCTTTTTGACTAGCAAACTCCACAGTCCCATCATGATTGACATAAATTTGAGGATAGAAATCCATAATGCAGTCCTCTGCTGCATTTGCATATTACGTGGGTTGCCTATTTTGGCGATATAACATGTTGTATAATTAATACTTTTCAGAGGGAGTATGAATAATCAGAAAATATGAAAAATTCAATATAACACTTTTTAATGCTTTTCATTCTCTATAAAAAATAAAATTTGATATAGTAAATTATGTTAAAGCATAAAAGCAATTAATAATGTCTCTAAAATTTTTGTGTCCAAAGATCTGATATATTGCACACATTAAAAAAAAAAAAATTGTTGGGGAATTTTTGAACAATAATGATTTAAAGAAAGCAGCCTTATTCTTGTTTAACCTTCTATGTACTTTTTTTATAGCACTTAACTTTGGTGGACATTCATGAAATATTTGAATGTCTTCATGGAACTCATCTGTAAGAATACTTTTGAATTCTCTTGTTATTTTTTTCTGGAAATTCTGAAGTATCTCAAAATGCAGATGTTTATGATGAAATTTCATTTTAAAGGAAAAGACAAAGTAACTCGTAATTGCCAAATCTGGTTAGTACTGAGATGACTTCTCCCCCATTCATGAGGAGAACAACTTGTCATTTCTTCTCAGTAAACTGTTTTGACCATTAATCTCATTAAAAATATATTTAATTTATTGAAGCTTAATCACATTAAAAATATGCTTTATTTAAGCATTTCGAGTGTTACTGTGAGCTTGTTGTTCAAGTTGTGATATATTTTCCCAATCTAAGTTTATGTGAACCAGATTTAATGACTGTAATGGAAGTGGTTTAAATACTATTTGAAATACAAAGGGTTATCCTAAAAAAAAACTGAACTTATTTTTTTAAACTCTTTTATTCACATTTAAGTACAAACCTTCAATCCCCTTCAAAGTACTCTCAACTTGCACTAATACATTTGTCTTAATCTTTTATTTCCATGTTTCAAAACATTGTTAATTTCATCTTTTGTGATGCTTGACAGTGCTCTTTCATTTTTTTCTTCACTTCAGCAAAACACTTTCCTTTCATGTATCTTTTCATTGTAGGAAACAAAGTCACACTGGTCAAAGTTGTGTGAGTATAGGGGTCATACTATTTTTGATCAAGAATTGTACAGATGGCTGTGTGAGCAAGGGCATTTTCATGACGAAAAAATCAGTCACCTGGCTGCTATAAATTGGGCCACACTGTTTCACAATCTTTTCAAAACTTCCGAGTAGAAAGCCTAATTAACTGTCCAACCTTGCAGAACAAACTCTGAATATACGTCTCCTCTCATATCGAAAAAAGAAATCAGTACTGTTTTAATGTTCACCTAATGTGCTTTCTCGGGGCAAGGCAAACTTGAAGTGTTCCTCTGGCTTGATGGTTGCTTTGTTTCTTGATTGTAAGGATAGCACCAAGTTTCGTCATCTGTGATAACTTTTGAAAAAAAATGCTTTTATTGAGCAGTCAACAGTCGTGGCACAAATTTGACAGCCTATCTTTTCATTTCCAAATCTTCTGTCAAACTTCATTGCGCTGAACTCCAAGTCACTCTTGACAGTTCCACAATTTCTTCAATGGTCCGTCATTGATCTTTGTTGATGATTGCACAAATTTTTTCAACATTTCCATGTGTTCGAGAACTGTAAAAGTACGACCAGGATGAGGTTTGTGATCAATTTATGTTTCGCCATTTTTTAAACGGGAAAACCACTTGAGTTCCCCCATAGCTTAGTCATTGTATGCCGTTTTTAATATTTCAAGAGTTTCTGTTTCACTTTTTCCAAGCAAAAAACAGAATTTCACCGCTGCATGCTGTTCACGGAAATCAGCCATTGCAAAAATGATGGTCACCCAAAATAGTTGTCGGTATAAACTCTGCTGAAACTAATCCCGACCTTCTTCAGTGATGGCATTCATCTTACTGACTCAGAAATGTTTCCTTTGTGCACTTGCAGTGGCGAATGTAGTGCTACAAAAGCTTTGCTCACCAAAAGATTAGTTCAGTTTCTTTTGGGTACAACTTCATGTACTGGAACACAGTATATAAAACTCCCTTGAAAATATGCAAAGAACTGACCAGTTTTCGTGTAGCTGTAAAAGAGAATCGAGATAACAAAAATAATAAATCAAGAGTTCTTATTATGAATATTAAATGTAAAAATGTCTCTGTCTCTGTCAGTTCATTTGAAGGGAGAAGTTTGGGGAGATCTTGAAAACAGCTTAAAAAATATTGATAAAGCTTGAATAAAATTGTTAAGAACAAGTGCTATCATTAGCACATTTTTTAGCATAATATTTTATCATCAAAATATGAAGATGAAGCCTGAATGCCCAAGCGATAAGTTATTGGACGCTGGTAGTTCGACCTGGTTTAGTTTCAGGTGAATAGTGTATGGGTATTTTTATGGGGTTTCTCATTTATAATGGGGATACAAGCCAATTTCACTTAGAAAGTCTCCCACAAGTCCCCCCCCCCAGAAGCAGATAGCCCTAGCATGTTTTGCCATAATCAAATAATCCAAAAAATGCAAACATGCATCTCTAAAATTCTTGGGGTAATCCAAATACCAGTTCCAATTAAAATGCAATCCAAATGTGATTTTTTTCATTTATTCCTCTTGCAGGTTAAAGCACCTTTATGCTAGCCCAGTTACAAAATAAACATGTTTTGTTGCATTAGCACTAAAATTTTCCCTGTAAAATATTAGTTTATTGATAGAGATTTAAATTTTTTCGTCTAATGCTATCCTTTAATAATTGTAAATTTATTTTTTAATTGTAGCTTGCTGATATTCAAAAGGATTTGAATGCTAAATTGAAGTCATCTCAAGGAAAAGAAGAAGAAATGAGGACCGTTAAAACCAAAATAGATCAGTTATCTTCAAAAGTTAAAGAATTTGAAAGCTTGGTAAGATTATGTTTTAAAATTTTTGATATCTCAAAAAGCCAGTTAAAGTTAATAATTTTATTTATATAAGACTGTGAAACAAGTTCTTAAATCTTTTGTAAGGAAAATTTATTTGTTTGTGAACAAGATCCAAAATTAATAGTTCTCATGTGAATTTTATCTGATGCAGGTGATGCATGTATTGATGTAAACGCAAAAATAATAGACTAATTTATTCAAAAGTATTTAAATGAAAACTTAGAAAAATAAGGTAACTTTACCATTTTTTATCTGGCATAAATAACACAATTATTATCTTCTTGTGTTTAAGTTTGCTCCATGCATGTTTCTTAAAACCTTTTAAAATTTCTTTGTTGCATTAAAATGTATAAATATGTGAAAAGCATATTTAAATTCACTGAACAGTAGGCCTGTCCATCACAAATTTCTTTATTATGTTTTATGATTTGCAAATTATATGTATAGATAAAAATGATCTGTAAAAATCTTAAACTGCATATTATTGAGAAAAGCTCAAGTACAGTCAAAATCGTTAATTCGGACACCCATAATCCAGACCTCAAAGCTAAAAATTTTCTGCGCATGCGCCACGTTGACACATGCGCATAGGCGTTTACGCGTGCGCGTAAGACCTTTACTACTGCGCATATGCATGTGCGCAAGTGCAGAATACGTTTTCGCGCGCGCGTTTAGTGTATAACGGACGGTATAAGCTAAAATTATCTATTTCAGTTAATGTTGATGATTGCGTTGTTCCTTAATCTTTGAATTGGATGCGACTTATTATTTTTTGCAGACTGTAAGAGCAATGTTCTAAAAGTAAACTTGAACTTTCGATTATGTCAAATAGAATTTCCCATACTGGAGCTCCCAAAGGATCTACAAAACTAAAGTATGTTTCGATGTCCATCAAACAAAAAGTGGAATTGCTGCAAAAAATGGATAAAGACATGAAGAAGGTGATAGAGAGGTTAGTGAAAACGAAAAAATTTCGATTGACAAGTTAGTCGGTATTCTCGGCACAGCAATTACGGGACTTGAACAGCGGAACTTTGTAACTGAAGAAGAAATTATGTCTGTTTATAGAATTAAAGAGAAAGTATTATCACATAAAACGAAGCAACCTAAACAACTTACATTGAAAGAAATGTTTAATAAAGTTAACAAATAAATATTAAGTTTTTTTTTTTTTTGTAAATTTTGATACCTTTTAGATCATAATTGTTCTTTATTTCATAAATTACGGTTTCATATTTTTAATTTTAGAATTTCTGCATGCCATCTTACGAGATTTAAACTGATGATCTATAATCCGGAAAAATCGATAATCCGGAATCGCCAAAGTCCCGACGAGTCCGGATTAACGACTTTTGACTGTACTTTCATCTTCATCACCCATTAAATTTTTTTTTTCATACACAAATATTTTTTTATATTGCCCAGTGTACAGTAAAACAATTTAATTAAAAATTTCTGCATTTTATGCGTCATGATATTTTTCATTACATTAAAATTTTTTATTAATTTCATATGTATTTTATCTAACTGTAGATGTAATAGTAAATTCAAGTTCTGTATGAATGTTAATAACTGATATATACAAAATTTCTATGTAGTCCGGACTAGTGTTGTATCACTTGAATTAGTATACTGGAGGATAATAGTACTTCTTCTGTAGCTGGCATATTGATAACATTTAAATTGCACATTTTCATGTGTTGAGGTGATTTGTGATAGCATGTCTGCAAAATTCTGTATTGGCCTTTTATTTAGCATTTCTTTGTTCTATAAAAGCTTGGAAAATACCAGAAGAAAAACAATCCAAATAGTTAAGTAGATAAAAAATGCAATCATGATAGAAAAGCCAAATGAATGGAAGAAGAAATTTCTTATCAGAAACCATAAAAATGTACTCAACTTAATGCCAAAAAACTGTGTTAAAAATTATATAAGATTTCACGGGGGGAAAAGGCATTTCAGACATAAAAGTTGATGTAATTCTTAGGCTTTAAACATAAAGTAAAAATAATTATGGAATGTTAGTAAAGAAGCTGCCAAACTTGTGCCAGTCATTCTGTCAAAGTCTTAAATGATTTAATGTGAGACTTTGCATTTAACCCGTTGAGCGGCACATTGAAAGTTTTTCAGTCTGTAATGAAATTGATAACTAATACCTTTGAGCTTTGTAAATGTGAAATGTATTGGGAAAAAAAATTGTTGCAGTCCTTGGAAGGGAGGTTGGTGGTGGTTTAGGCGTGAAACCGCTGCCCATGTCGAGCATGAAATCGGCAAACTTTTTAGGCATTGATTTTTATAGCAAAATAATACATATACATATAATTAGTTATGATTTTTGTCAAATATTAATAAAAAATATAATTTCTGAAAACTAAGTTAGCAATTTTAAAATATACTACAAATAATACTATTTGTTGTGATCTTATTGTACAAGGAAATTTCATATGATGTTATTCTAAATGTATAGATATACTAAGTAAAGGTTAAAAATGTAAAATTAATATCATTCTGTCTTCGTATTTTCAACAAAAATAGTATATTGAAGCTATATAAAATATATGTTATTACTCACATATTTATTCACACAGCTTTACAAGTTATGAGACTTTAAAAGGAAACGGCAACACCTTCTTCTCAAGCTTATAATACACTCAGTAAGTAATAAGACTAAAATTATAAAAAATTGCAGAATACCCTTAATTGTCATAATTTACATGGTCTTTTTCAAAGTAACTACCGCGGCACGCAATGCATTTATTCCAACGTTCTGTCCACTTCTGAAAAACATGGAAAAGTCCGTTTTTTGATAACTTTTTCAAAACTGTCTCCACAGCCTTTACACATTGTTTGTTGCTTGTAAAATGTTTGCCTCGTAATGGTTTTTTAAGTTCAGGAAACGGCCAGAAATCGCATGGAACCAGAGCAGGACTTTATGGAGGGTGTGGTAAAATCTCTACGTTGTTCTGCTGCAAAACAGCTTGTACGCAAAGAGCACTATGTGGTCGGGCATTGTCATGATGCAATAGGAAGCCATTTCTGAGCAATGGACGTTTCCTTTGAATGTGCTGTACCATTGTTTGTAGGACATTCGCATAGTACGAGCTGTGTACGGTATTACTGGGTTCGACAGCGTGTTGATACACAATTCCTTCATAATAATAATAAATATATATATATATATAAGGTTACCAGCCGATATCACAGTTTTTGCTTTCTCGAGCGAAGACGGATGCTTCCATTCACTACTTTGTTGTTTTATGGTTATGTCATAGTGATACAACCAAGCTTCATCTATTGCGATGATGCGTTTTAAGAAATTGTCGCCTTCTTGTTCCAGTCTTTCCATTCTGTGCCCACATCCACTCTATGTTGCATTTGCTCAGGTGTCAACAATTTCGGAATCCATTGCATGCAAACACGTTTCAGTTGCAAATTTTTTACTGTGATTGAGTGAACACTTCCTACAGAAATGTTCAAGAAAGCATGCAGCTGACGTACTGTAATTCTGCGGTCCTCCTTGATGATAACTGCAGCTGTGTTAATCATTGTCTCTATGACGGATGTTGAAGGCGTACCTCACGTTCAATATCTTCCACATTTTGCTTGACTTCCTTAAAAGCTTCATGCCAGCGAAAAACACTTGCCCTTGCTAATGCTTCATCGTTGAAAGCCTGACATATCATGTAAAAGGTCTCCGAAGCTGATTTTTGTAAATGAACACAAAATTTAATCGCATAACTTTGTTCCATCGATGCTTCCATTTCGTCAACTGGCCATGTCTCGTAGGCACCCGCAAACACGATTCAGTTCAATCATGTGATACTCAGGAGCATGAGCCTGTACACGCCATCTATCGGTAGCTTTTGTTCATACAGAAAATAATCATACCTGTGTCATAAAGAAACTTTTTATGACACAGGAATTAACATTCTGATGAGTGGTTTCGCGGCAGTAAAATTAGTCTAATTACTTATTGAACAGCCTACGTAACATAGAAAAGTTTTAGCTCTAAGATCATATTTCAGATCACATTACATCCTAGAAATCAGAAAATACATAGGTATGTTTTAGCTCAGAGGGCGATGGTTTCCGTAGAAAACCACTTGTTGAACTATTTAAAAAAAATGCAACATTTATTATGGATTTCTCTGGATATTAATATTTTTACAAATAAAAGAACATGTAAATAAAAAAATTAATTGTAATCGATTACCAAACAGTGATCAGAAATGTCTGCATGTTGAAAAAGCCTTTTTTTTTTTCAAAGGGACTTTGTCCCTGAAGGGCTATTGTTTTCATTTTGCGATTTTGCATTGAATCACTATAAACTCACTATATGTCCGTTTTACTTTTCAAATTGTTGCCACCAAATGTTAGAGTCCTGCATTATATTTGAATAAATTAAATAATGAAAAATCTGCATAAATGTATGTATATTTCTCGCATTGTGACAAAACAATGGAACATAGAGCCATCGAATTTTGAATGACGTAATCCTCCTACGAATATGGGCGCAAACTCAAGGATTTCAAAGCAAGCTATGGCATCACTACAGGGGGGGGGGAACCTTTTTATCTCCAGCGCACGGAACTGTGTATTGCAAATTCTAGATATGCTCTTTTAAAAATTATTTTGCGACATTGCTATTGAACTGAGTTTTATGGTTTAAGTGATACATGATATTTAATAAATAAAGTTAACACTCAAAATGTTAAAAAAAAACTCCCCTTTGGATGTAATTTAAAATCTTAAACCATTCAGATTCCCTCCTTTTTTAATGCATGTTGAAAAATTGTGGTTTGGTCAGGATAGCAGAGAAAAAAATTATTAATGTGCAATGCTTCATTTATGTACTCTATATAATATTTGACTCACTGCATTTGTATTTTAGTATTAAACAGAGTTATAGTAATAACAATAGGATTTTTTGTAAGAACAAATTATTTTCCCTTTATTTCTTTTTGGAAAAGTTAATTTAGTATACATCCATGGATCTGTAATGGATTAATTATGTATACTGACGTGCCACTTTATTTGTAATAAGAGAGGCATGTAAAATCAGAATAGCTGAATGCAGGCCAAGTGCATGTAAGATGCACTAGGAAGGAGCAGTCTGAATAATTTGAAAAAATTAACTGATTGCAATTTGCTTATTTGGAATCTTGGTCATCATCTAGCCAAGGTAGTTTTAATTATTTCTGATATCTAAAGCTGTCTTGTATAAGCTTAATACAATGAAAATAAATGTATCTTTTATGCTTATAGTATTTTTTCATGCACATGAACAATAAACAAGTCTCTCTCTTCACCTTTCCCAATGAGAAAGTACCTAATACTGTAATCATATGTTTTCTGGTATTAAAACAAAATCATTAAAAAATATTATTTTCTTATTGTATTATGATCATAATATTTTCATTGTCAGAATGAGTCTTTGAAGAATCGAATCAAAGATCTGGAAGCTTTGTTAGAACAAGAAAGGGAATGGAATCATATTACTCTACAGGCTAAGGATGAGGAATTGAAGAACCTAAGAGAAGAATCAGAAAAGCAACTCCAAGAATATCAGGATCTGTTAAATATTAAAGTTGCTCTGGACATGGAAATTGCTGCATATCGAAAGTTGTTAGAATCGGAGGAGACAAGGTAATATTTTGCTTCTTTTAAACTGTGTATAAATAAAATTGTTAGATTTGTTTAAATTCTTTACTAGTTTTTGTAATAATGTATTTTGCATCAACCCCTACATCAGCCAAATTGGATGGATGTATTTAGTTTTCAATTTTGTTATGAATATATATCCATTGCTGTGAATGTGCATCTGATGTTGAAAATTTGAAATACAGTATAAAGTCTTTAATCTGGACATCCATAATCCGGAATGATCAATAATCCGGACCTCAAAGCTACGAACTTTCTGCGATGTGCATTTAATGTAGAACGAACGGTATAAGCTAGGCTAAAATTATCTAATTATCTATTTCAGTTAATGTTGCAGATTGTGTTGTTCCTTAATCTTCTAATTGAATCCGGCTTATTATTTTTTGCAGACTGTTAGAACAATTTTATAAAAAGTAAACTTGAACTTTCAATTATGTCAAAAAGAGTTTCCAATTCTGGAGCTGCCATAGGATCTACAGAGCAAAAGCATGTTTTGATGTCCCTTAAACAAAATGTAGAATTGCTGCAAAAAATGGATAAAGGCATGAAGAAAGTGACTGAGAGATGATTTGAAATCTGTTTATCGATTTCACGCTGCTCTGCCGGTGGGGGTGGGGTGGGGTGCCGCGGCACGCAATGAACTGGAAGTTGATCTGTCAGCACTATCCTCATCATCAGGGCAGATGTTTTTATTTTATTCTGCTTTTAATTCTTTACTAAATGTAGTGTTTTATCTCGATGTACTCCGATATGATTTAAATCAATTTCCTTGTCATTATAAATATCACGAATACACATCAAATAGTTTTCTGGTTGCAATTTTCTAATTTTTGACTATGCGTAATGTATGCTTTACGCGTGCGCACGATGAAAGAAATGTTTAATAAAGTAAACAAATAAATATTAAGCTTTTTTTTTGAAAATTTTGATACCCTTTAGATCATAATTGCTCTTTATTTCATAAATTACGGTTTCATATTTTTAATTTTATAATTTCTGCATGCCACGTTACCAGATTTAAATTGATGATCTATAATCCGGAATCGCTGAAGTCCCGACACGTCCGGATTAAAGACTTTGTACTGTAGCTATTTTTACCCTGAACTTCTTAACTGTAGTGAATTAAACATATAAAGTCAAATTGAATTGTTTGCTATAGTTTATCGTTCATTTTATTTTTTACATCAATTATATTAGGCCTAATTATGTTTGAAGAAAAACTTGCCTAATTATGTTTGAAGAAAACTTACAATACATAATAAATCGTACATTTGTGGATTTGACTTCAAAACCAAGATTGAATACAGTGGGCAACACTGAATGCTAAACATATTACAGCCTTAGCAATGATGCTGACTCATCTCTCATAAAAGAAATGCATATGATTAATTTGTTCCATCTATAAGGTATTTTCTCCCTCCTTTCTGCATGCTTTCGTGGTGTAATTTTAGTACACTCAGCACATATTCGAGAAGTCCCGGCAAGGACATTGCTAATTTTTTACGTTTTCCGAATCAAAATAACCTAATGACTCTGCAGTGGTGCTCGAACTAAAAGGTGATGGATGATGATTCTTCACCTCCAGTATTTGGCAATTCACCTAATCTCCAGTCACCCTTTAAAAGGAGGAGTATATAAAGTATTTTCGCCCTCCTTTCTGCATGCCTTCATGGTGTAACAGTCAGCACGCTTGGCGCATATTCCAGAAGTCCCGGCAAGGGTATTTTTTTCATCTATTCCTGCTTCAAAAGTCCTAATGACTGTACACATCAAAGTAGACAGTAAAAGAAGCATTATTTAAAAGTTTTACATATTTATAGAATGCTGTTAATCATAAAATGTATTGCATGACAGGTAACTTTACTGTGAGACCACTCCGTCCTATACACAACAATTTAAGCATCATTTGTCTATGAAGTGTCAGCTGCTGCATTCCTAGTGACTATTCTATCTGCAACATTTTTTCCTCATGACTTTTTCTTGTCCTCTAAAGCAAATGTCAACTTAAAAATATTTTTTTTTTATGATGCTAAGATGTACCTGATATGACAAGGTCTCTTGCGCCCTTTAAAAGGAGGAGTATGTAAAGTATTTTCGCCCTCCTTTCTGCATGCCTTCATGGTGTAACAGTCAGCACGCTTGGCGCATATTCCAGAAGTCCCGGCAAGGGTATTTTTTTCATCTATTCCTGCTTCAAAAGTCCTAATGACTGTACACATCAAAGTAGACAGTAAAAGAAGCATTATTTAAAAGTTTTACATATTTATAGAATGCTGTTAATCATAAAATGTATTGCATGACAGGTAACTTTACTGTGAGACCACTCCGTCCTATACACAACAATTTAAGCATAATTTGTCTATGAAGTGTCAGCTGCTGCATTCCTAGTGACTATTCTATCTGCAACATTTTTTACTCATGACTTTTTCTTGACCTCTAAAGCAAATGTCAACTTAAAAATAATTTTTTTTTTTTATGATGTTAAGATGTACCTGATATGACAAGGTCTCTTGCGCTCTCTCTTTTTTTAGATGAGTTTGAAACGATGCTAGCTTTCTGAACGTAATTTTTTTAAGAAAATAAATATGTTAGGCATGTAAATAAAATGCACAGTTTTAATCTTATGATATTCTAGGTTACACATTACACCTTTAAAATCTCCTTCATTTGATACTGTGCAGAGGAGCACTCCAGTTCGTCGTACTCCTGTACGAGGTGCAAAACGAAAGCGCACAGTTCTTGAAACTGGGGAGAAATCTAGTAGTGATCTTCAAGTTTCTGCTTCTGCAAAGAGTGATGTAGAAGTCCAAGAACATGATGTCGAAGGCAAATATATAAAGCTTTTCAATAAAGGAAGCACAGTAAGTATTTTTCTTTTTTGTAAGCTGTGTGCTATTTTTCTAAATCTTTTTTAAAGTCTTCATGATAGTGGTAAATTTGCTTTGTGATGCTGCAAAATGTAAAAAAGTTCCAAATAAAATTAGGAAGTTATAATAAATTAACTGAAATTTTTGTCTCGAATGCATATTCCTTGTTGAGAAGTATTTTTTGATATTGCTCTAGTTACTCACTTACTTAGCGCTTCCCCTTCAGGACACATGACTGTAAAAATTTATGATTGTCTTTGTTTTAGAATTTGTAGTGTAATGTACTGATGCCTGTAATGCCTGAACAGCACATTTCAATGCAAAATTAAGGAAATATAGCAATATTCAAGAGAGTATAGTAACTGAAAAGTTAACGAGAAGCAGAAAATTTCTGGAGAAGATCCAGGCAAAAAAATTTTTTGGTCAAATATTGCAAGTCTCTAAAAGAAAGTAATTCCACTGAAAAAAATTCCCGTTTGTACAATTTTCTCCGATACATTGATGAAAAGGGAATCATAAGATTGAAATTTTCGGACTTCTCACTAGATATAAGCATCCAATAATTCTACCTAAAAATTCCAGACTGGCAATGCTAATTGTATGCAAAGAGCATGAGAAGATAATGCATGGAGGAACTACTCTGCTCGTAGCTAAAGTTAGAACTAAAAAAATACTACGTTGTTTTGTTCATCTGTACCGTACACTTGGAACTTGTGTCAAATGCGTCAACAAGAGTCTACTTACATTGGACAGATTTTTAATCAGAAGTTGAAACTGTAAAATCACCTGCTGTGACAAAGAAGTTGAGCATTTATTCAGAATTTTAGAGAGTTATTTTCTAACTTATAATTAACAGAACATTTGGTAATATAAATTAAATCATTATTCAAAACAGGCCCACTAGTGGCCGAGTGGTATAGATGCTGAACATTGGTAGTTCAGTCCGAGGTTCGAATGCCGCGAACGGGGTGGCTGCATGGACGTTTTTTTTTTTTTTTCGTTTTCCCCATGTGTAATGTGTATACGAGCCAGCTTACCTTAGAAAGTCTCCATGAAGGCATCCCTCCCTTTAGGCAGAAAGCCCTCATGTGTTTTGCCATAATTAAATAATCCCAATCCATTGTTCAAAACAACGAAAGCAATGTATTTGTTTATACTCGTCTTGTATTTTAATAAAAATCAAAAGAAAACAAAGGATTAATAGTTCTATATATACTTAAGCGTATTTTTGAAAAATTATCAGCTTAATTTTATGGATGATTTAACAATATTTATCCATTTAGAATTATGTACAATTGAAATTGCATATTCTTATGGATACAATTTTGTAATACTGAGACATCATATTCCTGTAAGAATTTTGCTTTCTTTCTGATAGTTTGTGATAGGACTTTTTCTGTCATTCTGCGCTAAACAAAGTTAATCATATTTTAAAAAAGCTTAGTTAAGGAAGTTCGTTTTAGAGAAGTAATATCGCAAAGAAATTCAACTTCCTTGAGATTTTTTTCTTTATATATGTTTTTAACAAAATAATCAAGCTGCTTTTACGTATTAGTTTATTTAAAAAATTATATTCCTGGTTTTAGATATGTGGCATATTTAATTACTTGTAAATCAGATTATATGTATTATAATTTTAATTTATTGGCTTACAATTTCGTGAATTCCGTGATAATTTTTACAGTCTGTAATATTTTTGTTCTGTGAAAATTTTAAAAAGTGTATTAAATTTATGCTTTGAAAAAGAAATTTTGAAGTAAAGAAATATCAGTACAGACGAATATGAAGAATTTCTTTAAATATAGCCAATTTTGTATTAAATGATTTCAAAGTGTAAAAAATGAATTTTTTGGAATACATTTTTCACATTAGGTGATCCCCTTTTTTATACAATATGTTGTCATTGTAATAATTGTTTGGTTTATTGCAGGAAATACCATTAGGAGGTTGGCAACTTATACGCAGAGCAGGCGAACAAGAAACTATTTACAAGTTCCACCGATCTGCTGTTATTAAAGCAAATTCTCATGCTACAGTATGTTAAAATGCATAACTTTTATATATATTTCAAGTTTAAAGGCCTTTTTTCTTCTCTCTCTTTTTAAATTTTAAATATAGGATATTTTTCTTGTAATGTATATATGTGTATCCTTTTTAAATTTCAGTAGATAATAATAATTATAGAATTGCGTTGTGGTTTGCTTTGATTTTGGTTGTTAAAATCTTGCCCCCTTTTTTATACAAGTGACAACATTTAACTAGTTCTTTATTCAAGCTTTATTGATTTAGTGTAGGTTATTGACAATATCACATTTATATCCCCATTAACTATGAAATCGACAGTGTGTAATATTTTATAATTACGTAACTTTAAAATGTGAAAATTATAAATTTCATGAATGTGCTTACTGTTTTGATGATTACAGTTTATTGAATATATTAATCTTCAGTCTGGTAATTTATGAGAGAAATTTATTCCATAAAATTATCTATTCCATCAAATTATCATTAGTAAATATGAAATCCAGCTGAAAAACATTCATTTAACTTTCTTTTATTAATATGCTGTTTCTAATTTGACATAATCACAGGCTTTTTCTTATTTATATAGTTTTTGTGAGGAATTAATAGATCTCTGAGATATTATAGGGCCCACTAGTAAGTGGCTGAGTAGATAAGACCGTAGAACACTGCTAGCTCATCTCAGGTTAGGCTCCTGCTACTGAATAGACTGGGTTGCATGCGTTTTCCCCTTCTGTGTTCCTTCACAAATGCATCGTTAGAAAAGCGCTTACTAATACCTCAGTTTATTTCTCTTACAAAATTCATGAATTTATTTTTATTAATTTAAAATTATGTTTTAAAAAAACTAAAAGTTATTTTAGAATTTTTTTTATAGTTTCAGATTTATTGTAAAAATATCATCGGTGATGCTTTTAAACAACTGGAATTTATTTTGACAATATCATGAATGAACAACATCAATAATTAGAATATGACTAATTATTTAAAATTAGGATTTGTATAAGTGTATACTGTTATTTAGATCTAAATTGAGCATGGTGTATATATATGAGTGCAATTGCCTTGGTGCAGGTTAATGGTTTTTTACCAGAAAACTAGAATCATTATTTATAACATCAAAGAAATAGTTGTTAATGTATATTTCAAGTTTAATTAGGTATTTACCTAAAATTAAATTTACATCTTAGTTTAAGCAATAAAATCACTGAGTTTAATAATTGAGAAAGCAATAAATTAAAAAAATTTTTCGTGGTGAGGGGCTGTTCTGTTGGATATTTTGTGGCAATCGCTTTAAGCAAAGCAGTTGATTCAAAGCAATTTTTCGAAGCAAACTCTGATTTTATGGATGAATACTGTATTAAAGCTGAAATTTTACCACAGTTTCTTCCATTGCAGGCAAATGCCACAAGTGCATATTTTAAAACTGAGTTCAGTTTAAGACAAAAATATTACAGTTGTCTATAAAAACCATTGCAGCTTGGAACATAGTAAAAATAAATGCACATAAAAATAATAAAGTTGTTCGCTAAAACTAGGGAACTGTTATACTCATATATTGTCAGAATTTGGTGCATCTGAAAATGTGATGACCTCTACTAAGGTGGTTGCACTAAAAATATAAATACCTGTACTTTTTGCTATATGCAAAATATTTTGAAAAAATACAGAGCCTTGTTAATTTATCAATCACATATTTTTAGTTTCACGTGTTTCTTTTTTTAATAATGAATTTTGGAGGAAATTTATTTCATTTTTAATTAAAATTCCAAAAATCTAATGGCTACCTTTTTGAAAGTTTTGTTGCCTTATTAAAGTTAATGTTTTATAATAATATTAAAAAAGAAAATTCGTCCTTGTTGAATATCTGTACCAACTGATGTACCACAAATAATCTTTTGACACCTTTAAGCAATTTTTTGTAAAAAAAATTCTGATGGATATTGTTTGATAATAGCATTTAAAATGGCATCAGGCATATTATTTATCTGCAGTAAGTTTATAAACTCGAATGATGAAGATGAGCTTATCGTGTTGTCATTTAGTCCTCCACTTTGCTAATCCCTACGTAGTTTTTTGTGTGTGAGAAAAAAAAGAGAAAGCGGGGGGGGGGGGGGGGGGGGGGGGGAATAATAAATAATAATAATAATTTTTTTAGGAAAATCCAAAATAACTTCTAGATTAGCTAAACATTTGCAATAATCAGTCAGAGGTGTAGTTTTCGTGATGTATTGTCAGGTAGTTTATAACCAGTGAGTTTCTAATGCATTATCGTTGTAATTTTTGATTGAATCTAAATGTGGGTTTATAATTTAATTAATATCAAATGGTTTTCGGTGCTTTAAATACTTTTTTATAGAAATTTAATCATTTAGCTTTTTGATTATTGCCTATAATATTTTTCTGTTTCTGATTTTTTTAATTTTATTTATGTTTTATTTGCTTCCCACTATCAAAACAAATTCAACAATTTCATGTTGAAAAGAGATGTAATGGTATAAACATAACATGCATATGTTAGATTTTAAAATAGTGTGATGCTTTCTGTGAATAAAGAATATGGACATGATTATAAATTTCCATTAAAGCTGTATTAATTTATTATGATTCAATTAGGTCTGGAGTTCTGATGCAGGTGTAACACACAGTCCTCCAACAGACTATGTTATGAAAGGCCAAAGGTGGTTCACCGCAGACACAATGAGTTCTGTTCTTCTAAATAATAATGGAGAGGTAATATATGTCTTTTTTTTTTTTTTTCTTTACTCCTAATTAGTAGAAATCAACAATACTTATGTGTTAGTGGCAGAATTTTGTACTGGCTATTTGGGGAATTTGTTTATTAATATCTTAAAGGTATAAGATTTGAGATGTGTTCAGTTTGATAAAAAGTGTATCCGATATAAATAGATGCTTGCCTGCTGCCGAGTAGTAAAAGCCGCTGAATATTGGTAGTTTGGTCTTGGGTTTGAGTCTTGGCAAACAGGCAGGCCACATGGGAATTTTTATGGTTTTCCCATATGTAATGTGAATATCAGCCAATGTCTTTAGTTCTCCATGGGCTTCCCTCCCTTTTTGCAAGTGCCTAAATGGCAAAGCATGTTATAAAATTAAAAAAAAAAAAAAGAAAGGAAGAAAAAAGGAAAAGCTGTTATTGCTAATTATCATTAAATTTTTCTCTTCAAAGTTATTGAAATGCTTCTCTGACTACAATATTAAAGCAATAATTTAAAAAATAATATTTTTCTTTACACTGTGACTGTCATAAAATATAAAATTTCTAATTTACTCTTATAAAATATCTAGCTCATGAACGCTATCACTTGCATTAAAAATAAAATCTGACGATTATCAAGAAGTTGTATATAATTGTGAAGACTGCCAGCCTCTTATCTTTTTTTTTTTTATTATATTTCTTGCAAATGATAATATAGTTTTTTCAATACTTTGATGTGTTTCTTTTCATATCATTTCATGTTCAAAAGAGAAGTTGCAGCTTTTTAAAGTTGAAATTCATTTTGAGTAGTTTATTTTATTTAACTGTGAAGATTGAGTTTTATAAATTGACAACAGTAAATATTATTTTTAATTAAAAAAAGGAGTAGAATATTATTTGCATAATTATTAAAAAAATAATGGCAAACTCTGAATTGTTATACTCTACAAAAATTTTGATATAAGCAGATATGCAGAAACTTTTTCGTATGATAGATGTTATTTTAATTTAAAAGTGATATAACTATAAAAGTTATCATTGCTATTGTACTTACTAAGATATACTATTTGTAGGAAATGGCTGTACGGGAAACTTCCAAAAAGACTCATCGTTCTCTTGAGCAGAGAGTCTTTGATACCAGTTACTTTAATCCATCTCAGTATTCAGCAGAGGAATTATATCATCAACAAGTAAGTGTGATATCTTATCCAAAATTAAATCAAATTGATTTTTTTTATTAAATTTAGGGAAGTGTTTTTGAAGATTAGGCACAATTTAAATAATAAATCAAATTTATTATGAAAGCATAAATTTTATATAGTCTATTATAAAAGTTAAAATGAGATAAGATTGCATGACTTTTGCATTGGTTGTGAGAGAAATATTAAAAAACAAAAGTTAAAAATTTTACATTTATACATACTAGCTGGCCTAATTTACAACATATTATGTATTTTGAAAATATTTGACAGTTCTTTTACATAGCTTGGCATGGTATTTTGATTAGCGTTTAAAATAAGATTCCTGTCATTTGAATTCATTCAGTTTTTTCCTATAGATTTCCTTTAAAAGAGAAGTAAGACTATTTCATCTTTAAGACATTAAAATCACGTGCTTATGTCATGCACATGAGAGTGGAGGTATCTGAAAATATCATATTTGACTTTGTCAATTAACTTTAAATGCTACTGCCAGTTATTGCTTATATTAGCGAGTTGAGTGTAAAGCAAGATCTAGCTTGTTATGTCATGTTTCTCTTGTCATTAAACAGTGTGAGTTATATGTATTTTGAGAAGGGATTCAGAAAATTGTGATCTTTGCTGTCTTAGCTGGGCCTGCCAAAAAACTTACTTTTATCAAGAAAATTCAATAGATTTTTTATGTTACGTGATGGAAGAACATTATGTTCTTTAACCTTTTAACTGTCAAGTTATTTTGATGATTTGGGTGCATAAATTGTCAATTTTTTTTATCATAAAAATGAAATGTTTGCCTCACAATCAAATAATGCCGCACACTTTGAACTTCCTTTGAACTTTCCTCTATCCTTTGAAACCTGTAGTAAAGTGCTGCTATCTGTTAAAGCCAAAATAAACTTCTCATGTTGGGCGTGACATTTTGAAGTAGAAGTGATTTCAGGCATGACAGTTGACAGTGAAAAGGTTAAAATATGCGTACTCAAAGACAAAGTTTAATATAAGGTGAAATTGGAGGGAGGGATTTAGTAAAAATAACTCTAAAGTTAGTTATTACTGCAGCACAAGCTCAAACTGCTATTGAATGTTTTGGAACATGTTGCATCTTTATTTAGAAAAATAGTTTCTGTTATCAAAATTAGTAAGAAATGCTCTAGTACTAGAATAAAAGCAACTATAGTTGTCAAAGAAGTAGATGGGAAAAATAAATCTTCAGCTGTTGATTGCATGAGCTTTGAGCCATTAGCAGTGCAGTATGCCAGAGGATTTTCAATGGTATTAATAAAACAAGGATTAAGTATAAATTCACTTTTTAGAAGTGACACATTAAGGAACTTTTGTTAGCAGAATTAGTTGGACACAGTAATAGTTGTGAACAAAATTATTATACTTTTTCGTAAGGAATGCAAAATCTATAACTTGTCAGCAAAATGAAAATTGGAGAAAGAATTTGTTAAAACGTACAGATAGCTGTAATTGTAATAAAAAAAATTCGTACAATTCCGTTATCACGATCATATAAAATTGCAGCAAAAATATATGTGCATAACCGCCAAGTCTAGCAAATGTGGCCATTTAACTGCGCGCCAAATCTAGCGAACGCGCCGATTTCACAGAGTATAAATTTAGATAGTTCTGCATTTGTAAGTCACCTTGAAATACTGGTTTAATTTTTTAATTCTTTTTTGATACTAACAATTTGGGAATTGCCCAATAATGAAAAGTTTGCAATAGAAATTTTTCAAAGAAAAGGCATCATTCCACGTTAGAAAATTATGTTCAAACAACTGTGAAATGAAATTCAATAGCGAAATGGCGGTGCAAGAAAGAAACCTGTAATGAGAAGAAAGGATAAGAAATCAAAATTGGTTCGAAGGATTGAGAATCCCCTTTCTCGTTAGGTTCATCTATTTTTTATGTCAGCAAATGACATCTATTGAATTTTGTGAACTCCAATTGAAGATGAACCACAATACAACTGTAGACCAGAACAGTTAGTTACATGCGTGAGGTGTGCATTGCAGCTTTAATTACTTGGTTTAATTTGAAAATTGGTGGTTGAGGCAAAATAATTATAGTAGTCTTTTCAGTAAAAGAATAATTTTGGACGTGTTCTTCTCCGAAATCTTCAGTCAAATGAAAGCTTCTTAGTCGCTGTTCCAGATTAATCAGCGAACACCTTATTGAATGTCACAGAACAAAGCATTATTTATATTGACTGCTGGAAATCATATAAGTCAAATGAACTGCAAGGGGCCGGCTTTGAACATTTTACTGTCGACCATAACTACAGTTTTGGGTGCTACTTTGGTAGACGGTTGCACGGATTTTGGCGATTTTCCTTTGGCGAGTAATACAAGTTATGGTAAACCCATTGCTGGATAAGTTATTTATGGTAACCGATACTTTGTTGTCATTTTATTTAAAAAATAATAATGCGTTTTATTGTGCATAATTCCGTTTTAAAATATTATTTATGGCTTTTAAATATTAAAAATCAATTAAATTTGCATTTTTATTTGAAATACAAATTTAATTGTTTATCATTTTATGAAATTTTATGTTGTGGATGATGTAATCAATGACGTCAACCTTACTTTTAAAAGTAATTGGTTTTAATATTATACATTTAATCTAATGTTTTAACATTATTTATGGCTCTTAAATATTAAATACAATTTAATTTTTTGCATTTTTTTAAAAAATGATTTTATTATGCATGAATTTTTGAATAATTTTAATTCTAGCCGTGATGTAATAAGCTCTCTGATTGGTTATAGAACTGTCAACACTATCCTTATCTTCAGCGCAGATGATTTTATTTTGCTTATAATTCCTTACCAAATGTAGTATTTCATCTCGATATGCTCCGTCTTTGATATGATTTAAAACAAGTTCCTCGTCATTTTAATTCGCTTCCGATAGCGAAGAAAGTGACAGAGGTTATTGAAAACGAAAAAATTTCGATTGACAAATTAGTCGGTGTTCTCGACACAGCAATTATAGGACTTGAACAGCGGAACTTTGCAACTGAATAAGAAATTATGTCTGTTTAATAGAATTAAAGAGAAAGTATTATCACATGAAACGAAGCAAACTTAAACAACTACATTGAAAGAAATGTTTAATAAAGTAACAAGTAAATATTAAGCTTTTCTTTTTGCAAATTTTGATACCCTTTAGATCATAATTGTTCTTTTTTCATAAATTACGGGTTCATATTTTAATTTTAGAATTTCTGCATGCCATCTTACGAGATTTAAACTGATGATCTATAATCCGGAAAAATCGATAATCCGGAATCGCCAAAGTCCCGACGAGTCCGGATTAACGACTTTTGACTGTATAACAGAAATGATTTGCAGAATCATTCTATTTAGGAAACACTATGTGGTCTGTACTTTAATGGAATATAACTGATATAATTTATAGAATAACAAACTAGTATAATTTTTAAATGTAAGAGCTAATATGCTTAATTATAAGAGATTTGGTGCTGGAGGTGAATGACTCTGAAGAGAAATGCTATTCTGTGGCAACAGCTACCCACTTTAGAGACTGAAAGCTGAGGAGTGGTCTTAGTTGTCATCTTGATATCATTTTGATGTCTAGAGTAGATTGTGTGTGTGTTCGCATTTTTTTATTTTATTTTATTTTTTGTACTGAAGATGAGCAGTAGTAGACATATCACAGGTAAATATTGCTGCTAACATTTTAGAATCACTCCTGCTAGTTCTGTGTCTACAGCCTGATTAACTCCTTTGTTGGTTAACAGCCTGATTAGCTCCTTTGTTGTAAATTTATTTTGTGTTTTGAATCCATTTTAAAGGTAAATAGACAACAAACACCATTAGTGATAAAGAAGTGACTAAACTAGCTGTGTGAAAAGGCAAGAAATACTGGAAGGAAAAGCTGGATTGGCTTGTGGATTATCTTACGAATTTTGCTCGCTTACATTACTGCAAATTTGTGTAAGTCAAGGGATTACTGTAGTAAACAAATGAATTTTATATCTCCAATGCATAAAATATTTCACAAAATATTTGATGACACTTTAAATTTAGAGATAATGTGCATATTAGATGTCACATTTTAATGGATTTCTATTCAGTTTTCAGTGTTGTGCTAAATTATTTTAAATATGTTAAAATTATAAAATACCAAACATGTTGGCTGTCAGAATCTTTCTAGTATTTCTTTTTTATTGCAAACTTTAAAATGGGAAGGGGGCTGTAAAAATTAAATTTTATTTTATTCTTTAATTTTATATTTTCTGGATCTCATTAATTTTGTATATTTTTATTTATTTATTTTTTAGGGAGACTTTCAAAATCCATCAGAAAGATGTAGCGTCATGTAACGTTTTTGTTTATTCATCTGTTCGACTCAAACATGGATTTTATTCATAATAAACTGCAGTTCATGTGAAATATTTTTAAAAACTCAAGTGAAGCATACCATCATTACCATATTCTGTTTTAATATCACTATGCCATATGAAAATTTTTAATGAAATTGCCATGCAAAAAGTATTTTTAATACCTTGATTCCTGATGTTGCATCATTGAATTGTTTCATCTTGAATTATGCATCATTTCATATCCTCTGCAACTAAATGGTATGTTTTATTATTTGAACATGTGAATTTATTGTTTCAGAAAGCCTTGTCATCTGTCAAACAGTGATCTCTTCTTTTACCTGTATTGATATTATTTTTTTTAAATGCTTCATTCTTTGTAGTATTCTTTTGTGATTGGCTAATTCATATTTATTGTCATTATTTTGACTTTAATATAGTACAGATTTATAAGTTATTTAAAATTTGTAAACAGATGAGTGCATCTGAAGTACTTCTTAATGAAATTCTTTTATTTGTATGGACTTTTTTATTGTTCTAAATTTATTTCCTTAAGCTTTAAAAGATACCAATTCGATAATGTGTTATTTGTCAAAGTTTCATTATATGTGTGACTATTATTTATAGCTTTAAGTGGCAAAAATTTTGCTTCTGTTGTAATACTGAGTTTTTATAGTCCTTTGAATAAATTTTGTCATAAATAAATTTTAGATTGTGTATTTTTTTGTATGCATAATGTTTTGAGATTCATTTTTTATGTTCACGAGTCAGTGTAATTAATGTTTATGCAGCAACTAGTAACTCCATACTTATCAATCATTGTGTGTCATTTTATAATGTATTTTTCCATATTTTTTTAGCATTGATTTTTGTTTGTGTGTAACCATGTTCCCAACATTTTTCTTCCTTTACTGATAAAGATGCAGTAGGATAAACTATTACATAAGAATTTGGCAGTTTATCTGCCTAATTTTTAACTCTTTTTAATACTTTCAGTCATGAATTTAATGTTGAAGAGTGATTTTTGTAAAAAAACTAATTTATGTCATTTTAACAGAATTGTATAACATTTTAAAGAAGTTATTAAAAGAGTAATTTTTTATTTACGTTCTTGTTAACTGTTACTGCTATAATGAAACAACTGTGTGCCATTGGCTGAAATTTGCCATATTTTGTCTTTTTCTTGAAATAAATAATTATAATTTTGTTTTCTGTAGAAGTATTTTTTAAAGATTCATGTTTTGAAATGAAAAGTACTAGATTCCTAGTTACATTTTGTTTGGGATTACGTACATTAGAAACGGTGATTTTGTGCAATACTTACGAAGAGAATTATTTTTAGAAATGTGTATGTGTCTGAATGAAAAATCTTTTAATTGTAATTTAAATAAAAATAAGATTATAAGTTAAGTGTAAAAATGTTTTAGTTATATATATATATATTCAGATACATTTATCTATATTTTAAAGTAAAAAAGTGATAGAAATTTTTGGCAAGTTATTTAAAAATGCATATTAAATTCGTAAAATGTATAAAGCTAAATTTATAATCTTTCTAAAACTTGGTACCTGTCATTTCTGAAATGATAGTGTAAAAAGTATACATTAGAATATTCGTTAATAATTTTTTCTTGCAGTCATTAATTTTTTTGGAAGTACTTTTAAGGCATGTCAAAGGAATTACTGTTGCTTTTGTGATGATGGAATGAGAAAATATTCTTAATTCTTATGAGGAAAGCTGGTCACTTCCTATCTTGTAGATGGATTCGTAATTAGGTACTTCGTTTTTTTCCCTTAAAGAAAGTTTAACCTAGTTTTTTGTTATGGTTTCAGGTTTTAATATTTTTCTTTATATTTAATGGTTACGTTCATTTTAAATCGTTTTGCCTTCGATTTTAGAATTTCTAAGATATATTTTGTTTTTAGTATTCTCCCTCTGTTTCTGAAGTTTTTTTTATTTATTTATTTTTATCCATTTAATATTTCTACTATTGCAATATGCAGTATCTGTTCATGTCTTTAGCTGAATGATAATAATCTTTGCATTGCATTATCTATTATATGCAGATGTAATCTTAAAAATTAAACATAATTTTTTTTTATTACTGTTGGAAGTGAATGAATTACATACATTTTTGACTTACATTATGTTAATAACATAGACCTTCAGAATTAATTTTTAAATAATTTTTATTGAATTTATAGCTTGTTAGGAAGCTGAGCTTGAAAAATTTCGCTGTTTGCATTAACCCTTTCTTTAATGGTACATAGTTTCTTAATAGCCTGTTGATTTGAATAATAAAAGAGGGTGAAGTCAGTTATGATGTAATATGTGATTTATTACTTTTAGTTAGTTAATTCTTAGCTGGCATCACTAAAATGTTTTTTCACAAAAATAAATAATTCCATTAAGTAATTTAATAGCCATTAAATTTTTTAATTAAATTTAAATTTCAGTAGTTTTAACAATTCAATTATAATAGCTTCATAATGTAAAATAAATTAATAGCATTCATATTCGAATGAGTGGTATAATGGAGGATAAAAGAAATGACTAAAACAATAACCAGTTTGAGTGGCATCTTGGAAAAGATAACTAGCTGACTAAGAGCAGTATATCGTATATCATTTCCAAAAGTCGAACAAAATGACGTCAGTAGAAAGTATTGCTTGTAATGAACCCTCTCCAGGTGTTAACCTCCTATAAATGACCACCTCTGAAACTGACTCTTATATTTGGAAATGCAAATAATCACCAGTGTTGAACATTACCTCTCCTTTGCAGTCACTCCACAAAAGACCAAAATTATGTAGATTATCGTCTTCAAAAAGGTTTAATGCATAGTAAAACAGAAAATTTATATAAGCTATGAATTCAGTTTGTAAACATTGAAGTGAATTGATGGACAATTATTGACCCATGGCATTGTGCTTGTAGATATAGAAAAGAGTCATTTTGAACAGTAGTGACACTTAGACGTCCACTTCTTGATCCTTGCAGTACTGTTTCTTCACTGATATCAGTTCCATAGGCAGCAGACGATGGAATGATTGATATTTATGTTTGATGTCATTCAGATGGTATTATCTGTTCATTTAAAAAAATACAGTTGTACTTAAAGAAATAGCCTTCTATTTGGCATAGATTTAGACAAAGAACTCAATTTATTTTGAGAGCAAACAGGTTCCTCTTCATCTGGAGAAAAGAAATTTGCAACACTGGAAAGCAGTGGGCATAACATACATTAGTCCTATTTATATCCTACTGCAGGAAAGCAAACAGGAAGGTTGCACGATCTGTCGGCAAAAGAAAACTGAAAAATTAAGTTGATAGAATTTTTTAAATCGTTAGGAAAGTATGCTTAATATATATATATATTGGGGGGGAATCTAAATCTATTCCAAATACAAGGCTTGTTTCTTTACTTACTTTAAATAATTTAATAAAATACTTTTTGGTTTAAATCTACACTAGATACAAGTTTGTTTCTTTACTAATTGTAAGTTTTGTTTTGGTGTGTTTCTCTTCATGTTTGATTCAATTGTATTTTGATTTCCCCCCCCCATACCCGGAGTTCGTCATGCAGAGATATGAGCTCACCACAAATTAGACCATTTTTCTACATGCATGTTTTTGTAGTTTCACATCCATAAACTGTTGTGTGTGAAATTTTATGGTTATATGTTATTTTTTATGCTGAATATGCTAATTCTTCCATTTATTGCTTGACTTTTGAACACTTGTATATTTACAGAAAATTTAAAAAGACAGTTATATGCAAAAATAGTCTTAGCCAGAATTGTTTTAAATTTTCATTAATAAAACTGCATTTATTGCTTTTCTTTGATGCCTCTGAATTTTAGTTTTATGACGGCCAGCATGATTTCTTATTATTAACATTTCAATGGTCCTGGTGTCATTCTGTCTTTTCTTTAATGATTTTCAGAAATGTCTAGTTGTAAATTGAAATTGTATGTTTTTTAGTAGCTTTAACCCTTTCGCGATGGCGCACCTTTGTTTAACCCTTTGCGGCATGGTGGGTCAATATATGTCCCACCTAATTAATATTTATTTTCTCAGTTAGCATTTTCCGTTAGAAATTTTCTAATCTTTTAAAAATAATCTATTTTAGTTATTATTTTTCTCAGTAGATGTTATTACTATACCAGGGCTTAAGTTTATAAGCAAAAAATAATCAAAATAGGATCACAAGAGTGATATCCATGTATCTCGCATTTTTCAATATTTTAAAAATTTTGGTATACAATTTATGATATGTATGATTCTTTTTAATATTCAAAGGTATTTTATTTTCAAAAATCTTAATTGGATTCAATATTTTATAACATTAATTTTGCAGTTGAAATAAGTGGGTTAAAATTTGTCCCACCACACACTTGAATTTCCGCTCAATAGATGGCAGCACTCACGATTATTTTTTTCTTTTCTTTTTTGCATCTACTTTTTTCGTGATTGCGCGCGCTTTTACATCCGTTGTATGCTCTGATGTGCTAAAATGTCTAGAAAAAAATTAACAACTCAGGAAGCTTTGGATCTTTTTGCTGAATTGCCATCCGATTGCGACTCAAATGCTTCAGATGTCAGTTCTGATTCAGATGAAATTGAAATCCAGAGAGAATAAAGAATAACTGAGGTTGAAGTTATTGCTGAAGAAGAAAGGGAAGTAGTTATAATTTGTTTCGCTTTTTAAAGACACAGACCCATCTATGCATGTGGCACTGTAAATATGGATCGGAAGTATCTACCCAAAAATTTAAAAGACAAATTTATGTCAAGAGAATATATAGACTTTTCAGTTAGCGATGATTCAATTTATTGCATAAAATGGAAGGATAAAAGATCCGTTTCTATCCTGTCTTGCTTGGAAAAGGCAACTGAAATGAAAGAAATTAATAGAAAAGAACGAGATGGAAAGACAAAAAAAAAAAAAAAAAGTACTGTGCCCAAACAGCATTATTTCATACAATAAGAATATGGGATATGTCGACTGATTGATCAACTGAAAGGACTATATGAAATAGACCGCAAAAGCAAGAAATGGTGGCACATGATTTTTTTTTTTTTACTTTTTAGATGCGAGTATAGTAAACACATTTATTCAAGTTTGTTCGCGAACCTGATCATGATGTAAAAACAATGAAAGATTTTCTTCTCTCAGTTACAGAAGGTCTAATGGCACTTGCAGGCAAGAAAGAGCTGAAAAGAAAACTGAAATCCCCAGTTCAAATAAAAACTAAAAACCCGTTCGTACAACCAGAAAAGAGACTAAAAAAAAAATGTAAGTAAAACGCCAAAGAGAACGAGCAGGAGAAGATGTGCATATTGCAGCATATCGAAAGAAGAACGACGAACATTTTGGATGTGTGAAACATGTGAAGTGCCTCTATGCTTACAAAAGAATGAAACAACATGTTTTTCAAAGTTTCATGAAAAATGACTTTTTTTTCAATTTTAATCATATATAAATGTTTTTGAATCAAGTGCCAATTTTAATATTTTATTTAGTATCATGTGTATCAAATTTTAATCTTAAAATAATATTCAAGAAAATATTTTCTTTTGTTCCTAAAATTTAAAAATATTAAATATATATGCAAAATGTGCATATGCAAAATTTTACAAGTCATGCATATATGCAATAAGTACAAAATGCATTTTAGTGTGTGTTTATTATGAATATTTTAGAATGCACGCTTTATTTTGTTTATTCATTCCACATATGATTTTTTTTCCTGCTATACACCAATATGCTATAAGACATGTGCTAGTTCCATGGTGGGACAAACGGTATCCCACCTTCCACCGTAAAAAATAAAAGTGCAGAATTTTTTTCAAGCCCTAAAGGCACTTAAGTAAGTCCATCTGACTTATTTTAAGGCATTTTTTTAAAGATTAAAATATATTTTAAATATGCGTGTCGCAAAGGGTTAAGACGCTCGTGCGGGACGGAAGGGAATCGAAGGCAATCACCGTCCAGGACTGAGGTTTTGCATCACTAAGCATAATTTTATTTAAAAAAATCAGAAATACAAAAGTTTCGTTTCTAGCATTGTAATTTTTGGTATCATTTTAGATTATTACTTTAGCTCTTATATACCGTATTTACGTGAATCTAATGCGCATCGATTTTGGCCAAATGAAGTATTCGAAATTGGGGTACGCATTAGATTCGAGTGCAAAGTTCGCCGATGACG